AGGGCCGGACAAACCCCTCGGGCTCAACTCCCCCGTAGCGGTAATTTAGATAGGCGGGCGAAGGGCTCTTGGCTGCCGAAGGAAAACGGCTAACGGCCCGATACTAGTTTTGGCATCCAGGGTACCCCACCCCCCATCACGGTTCATGACTTGATTGAATTTTCTAATCCACACGGACTCCTTAATCCAACGAATCCATCTGTTGTCCTCTGGTCTCGGAACCGCATATGGCCCTACGATGTAACAATGTCTAGTATGTATGTCATACTTGCACTACGTTCGGAAATGCATTGTTTACAGTAAAAACTAGCTTAAGTGCACTGTGAAACAAGAAACAGTGCACTGTGAACTAGGTAACACCTTTAGTGCACTATTCACCAAGTAACATCTAGCGTCAGTTCACAGTAAACCAGTCAGAATTGCCCTGATGAAGATGGCAGACGGTCATTGAACGTCGGCTCGTGAAAAATAGATGATTGTGATCAAAAAACTTTGCTATTCATTCGTTTACCATCCTGATGAAATTATTTAAGGATTGAGGAATATAGTTTGCATTGAATTCTTCTTGCACTTTTAAATGCGAGGGAGAGAGAAGCTTTGTTCGTACGTACTCAACAAATAGTCTCTAGAAAAAGGCAAATCCAAAAACTGCCGTTCATAATCAGTGATTCAAATAATTTTCAATTTTGCAGATTTTGCAGATATACAAGATATTGTGTTGTTTTTTTCTACCTAGATGTTTTATAGGAATTATTTCTTTTTGTCCTTTCCATTGCAGCTCGACAATGTCCGGCTCGGGCGGCCCCGGCTAACGGAGCAGTGACTCCTACCGGAGCGGTCTCCTACCCGAACGGAGCCACCTTCACCTGTAACACGGGATACAGACTGAACGGACAACCTACTCCGACGTGCCAAGCTGCCGGAACGTGGAGTCATCCTGTTCCAACATGCACACGTAAGATGAGTTTGATACTGTACAAACTTGTACGAAACGTTACGAGACGTTTTTACGCGCTATAGTGACAAGAAGATGCGACCGCAGATATTAGGATATTAGGTTTTTTTCCAGAAAAATCAATTATCTCCTAGACCTAGGCTACATACGTGACCTACTCAGCAGAAGGCATCTATTGTGGTTTTTTTTAGCTACATGTATATGTTTGACAAGAAATTTTTTTTGTACTTTCCATTGTAGTGGTCCGATGTCCGGCACGGACGGCCCCAGCTAACGGAGCGGTGACTCCTACCGGAGCGGTCTCCTACCCGAACGGGGTCACCTTCACCTGTAACCCGGGATACACACTGAACGGCATTCCTAACCCTACGTGCCAAGCCGGCGGAATTTGGAGTCATCCTGTTCCAACATGCACACGTAAGATTAATCTGGCACTAGTATACACAAGAAATTCTTACCAAAATAAATCATTCAACGGCCATTTAGTAGTGAGGATATCAGAAGGGTAATTTCTTTCAAAACAAGCGTTTGCAAACAGACGCCTAGGTACGGTGGACAAAGTCAATCTAAAGTGTATAATTTGGTACAGTCATAGAACGGGTACGTAAAATTTTTGTTTTGTAGGTTTTTTTCAGAAAGATCAATTATCTCCCAGACATACGTACTTGTCCTACTCAGCAAAAAGCATATACAAGAAATTATGTAGTCTTTTCTAGCTAGATGTTTTATATTTTTTTTTATCTATTTTTGTACTTTATATTGCAGCGGTCCAATGCCCGACTCTGACGCCCCCAGCTAACGGAGCGCTGTATCCTTTTAGAGCGACCTCCTACCAGACCGTGGTCACCTTCACTTGTAACCCGGGATACACACTGAACGGCGTTGCTACTGCGACCTGCCAAGCTGATGGAACATGGAGCCATCCTGTTCCAACATGCACACGTAAGATGATTTGCAAGTAATTTTCCTCCAAATGTAGTATGCAGATAGACATATAGATAGCAGATAGAACAACTACAGACGTACGGCCTCTGTTACTGAGATGCTAGGTAACCTGGGATGGAAATCACTCCAACACCGCTGCAGACCATCGCGAGTTAGAACAACTATTACAGGCTCTCGTTCTTCCCTCGCACCATCAAGGAGTGGAATGAACTCGAGCCCAGTGTGGCGGAGGCGAAGTCCATCTCCCAGTTCAAAGCAGAGCTGGGACGGGCTTCGCTGCATTGAGCTGCCTACCTGGTCCTTGTACATATGTAAATATGTGTAATACTAGCACCACTGATTTCACCTGACCTGTCCTTGAACTTGTCTACGTCCATCTCTACCCTACCCTTTGTTTGCACACCGTCACTAATCTGCGCAGCTGCTAATAATCCTCTTCTTAGAGGGATGGGCAGTACCGAAGATGATGACATCCACCAAATAGTTAAAGAGAGAACAAGGAAAATCGTAGATTTTGTACCTCCGGGTATTGAAATGTGTGTTGCAGAATGTTGGGTGCATGTTGGGACTGTTCTTTAAATTAGTGAATTCGCGCGAATACCATTTTTTCGAAAAGTTTCGAAATGTTTGTAATTGGCTAAATGATCTGTGAAATCACTAATCCCCCTAGCCGACTGGAGCCCAAAAATAGAAAGGACAGGGGGCATCCCGTGGCGAATCTGGCTGCCCGACCCTCAGCGACCAGCGATAATGTAAACAAACACCCGCTCCGGGCGCCAGCCGCCAATCGTCCGGTGCGCGTGTTACCCTTCTAACATGTAAGTAAGGCCATGTTGATTTGATTATATGGATGACATCCTCTGGGAACCCCAAAACTGATGCGCGCGTGCGAATAGTAAAATCTGAGCTTTTTATTGTATACTTTTATATGTTGTTTGTTATATACATGTAGTTGATGGTGTTGAATTTTATGTGTTAGATTTAGCCTTCCTGGTTGTGTTAACACAGGTCAGTATTTTCATCTGCAGCCTATAACATGTACCCACGAACGGGCCGCCACGAACTTATGCCACAAGGAACTCGTAATGAAACTCAGAATGACAACCGGAGCCGTTAAATGGAATCAGACGTTAAAAATAACTGCTGAAGTACCTCCCCGCATGTGCAAGTCATCCTTATTGTCACTTCCTCCATTTTCCGCCGATTCTTCGTATAAATTGGGGAAGTAAAGGTCTGAATCCGCGGTATTTGTAAGTTAGAAGTCGTAATATACGCCGAAAACAACCAACACAAAGGTTGCGCAACAGTACGTTGACCCCTGACCCATTGGCTAACCAGGAAGTGCCGATTACGTGTCCTGTGAACGCGTACTAAAGTATCCCCCCAGCGGGTCCCACCAGGCACGATAATGAGACGTTGATTGACGGCACATGTGGTTCACATCTGAACAGTTTCAAAGAAAGAATTTATCGACAATGCTGACACCCCTCTGTGTGAAAGGTCAGATCAGTGGTCGCGACCTCAATCGTCCTTATACATGCAAAGGTCAAAAGCTGAGGCCCACTTTCACACTGAAAGGGGTGTCCATCGGCGGTCTAAACGCATCATTTTGACGCACTAAAACACACATACTAAAAAACCAAAACAACGTGCACCATCTACAGCCCAACAGCAAAACGTATACCAAGTCCCAGACATATCCGTCCACCCAAACGCGAGAAACGGGTGCGAACGCAATTTTCGTCTTCCCTCACAAAACCTCCGCGCTCGGGATATACATCCCTACCCGGAGGTAATTAGGACCTGGGACAGTGTAATCTTTCAGTATTCAAACATGATAAAGATTAACAGTTATTGTTTTGTAAATCTTTAGATTTGAAATATTTCCTAAAAAGGATCATTGACCATGTCATCCATTGCAGCGGTCCAATGCCCGACTCTGACGCCCCCAGCTAACGGAGCGGTGAGTCCTTTTAGAGTGACCTCCTACCAGACCGTGGTCATCTTCACCTGTAACGTGGGATACGTACGGAACGGCGCTGTTACTGCGACCTGCCAAGCTGACGGAACATGGAGCAATTCTGTTCCAACATGCACACGTAAGATGAGTTTAATAGTGTAGAAACTTGTAATTTCGTACGACACGTTTTACGCGCTATAGTGACGTGAACATGCGACCGCAGATATTAACAAATGATTATTTTACCATTGCAGCGGTCCAATGTTCGGCTCGGGCCGCCCCAGCTAACGGGGCGGTGAGTCCTACCGGAGCGGTCTCCTACCCGAACGGGGTCACCTTCACCTGTAACTCGGGATACACACTGAACGGCATTGCTACTGCGACCTGCCAAGCCTATGGAACATGGAGCCATCCTATTCCAACATGCACACGTAAGATAATTTGCAAGTAATTTTCCTCCAAATGTAGTATGCAGATAGACATCCACCAAATAGTTAAAGAGAGAATTATGACCTGGCACAGTGTAATTTTCAGTATTCAAACATGATAAAGATTAACAGTTATTGTTTTGTAAATCTTCAGATTTGAAATATTTCCTAAAAAGGATTATTGATCCCAAACCTGAAGTTTATACCCCCCCCCCCCATCACGGTTCATGACTTGATTGAATTTTCTAATCCACACGGACTCCTTAATCCAACGAATCCATCTGTTGTCCTCTGGTCTCGGAACCGCATATGGCCCTACGATGTAACAATGCCTAGTATGTATGTCATAATTGCACTACGTTCGGAAATGCATTGTTTACAGTAAAAACTAGCTTAAGTGCACTGTGAACCAAGAAACAGTGCACTGTGAACTAGGTAACACCTTTAGTGCACTATTCACTAAGTAACATCTAGCGTCAGTGGACAGTAAACCAGGGAGAATCGCCCTGATGAAGATGGCATACGGTCATTGAACGTCGGCTCGTGAAAAATAAATGGTTGTGATCAAAGAACTTTGCTATTCATTCGTTTACCAACCTGTTGAAATCATTTACGGATTGAGGAATATAGTTTGCATTGAAATTTTCTTGTACTTTTAAATGCGAGGGAGAGGGAAGCTTTGTATTCATCTCAACAAATAGTCCCAAGAAAAAAATCAAATCCAAAAACTGCCGTTCATAATCAGTGATTCAAATAATTTTCAATTTTGCAGATTTTGCAGATATATAAGATATTGTGTTCCTTTTCTAGCTAGATGTTTTATAGGAATTATTTCTTTTTGTACTTTGTACATTGCAGCTCGACAGTGCTCCTACCGGAGCGGTCTCCTACCCGGAAGGAGCCACCTTCACCTGTCTATCAACGAGCGCGCGCGTTGTGTTAGGGTTTTCAGTTCAAAAATAACGTTGATAATTTCAGGCGTACAATGTTCGGCTCGGGCGGCCCCAAGTTTATCCAGGGTTACAGGTGAAGGTGACCCCGTTCGGGTATAAGACCCCTCCGGCAGGACTCTCCGCTCC